CACGGGCCTCTCACTGTTGTGGCCTCTCCCGTTGCGGGGCACAGGCTCCGGACACGCAGGCTCAGCGGCCATGGCTCACGGGCCCAGCCGCTCCGCGGCATGTGGGATCTTCCCGGGCCGGGGCACGGACCCGTGTCCCCTGCATCAGCAGGCAGACTCTCAACCACTGCGCCACTAGGGAAGCCCCAATAATTTCAGTTTTAAGCTGCCTAGTTGGTGGTGCTTTGTTATAGCAGCGAGGAAACCAATACAGCCTGTGTCTGAGGGTAGCGCACAGGAGCCCTCTCTGCATCCTGGCATACAGTTCCCTCTTTGAGAAGGACCCCTCTGTGCTTGTGTCTCCATCGTTCCTCCTATCTTGAGGGAAAGATGGCCTGTGGGGGTTTAAGCACTGTGCTCCAGTGGACACAACCCTGCCTTGGCAACCTCATGAATGTCCCCACACAGAGCACATGAGGCCTGCAGGCTAGTGGTTGTGACTGGGGGGGCTTGCTTCTGTGTGTGGAGAAGGGATGGGGACTGTGACCTCATCTCTGCTGGCCTAAAAGCCCTGGGCTTAGCATTTCCAGGGGCCAGGAAATATCAAGACGTGCTTCAGTGGTTTTGCTACAGTCTGTGATTACACGGTCTGATGGGCAGACTCATCGGTGCTCAAATGTGCTTTTTATAAAATCCCGAACCACTCCTCTTGGAGTCTTCTGTTCCCCCGCTCCGTCCAGCTCAGCGTGAGGCTGTAAAAAAAAAAATGTTCCTGTGGTTTTGGTGCTGTGTGTGTGTGTGTGTGTGTGTGCGCATGTGCACGTGCACGCATGTGTGTCAGCGAGAAGCAGAGCACAGAGAGACAGACAGAAATGGAGAGATTCAGATGCACAGGTGGACACAGAGTGCCCGTGTCTGCAGCACACAGAGTTGAAATAGGAGACTGGAAGACTTCCTTTCTCAAGATGCTCTCCCCTTTGGGAGCCGGTGGCAGCTCTCACTTGAGGTAGAGCTGGCGAGTTTCCACTCCTTGGCAGCTCTGGAGAATTCTTCATCGCTCAGAGCTTGGCCAGGAGCTGGATAGGTGTGTCCCAGGAGCAGAGCCCGGATAATGCCTCTCTGTGTGGGCTTGGCCTCGGTGCTCCCTTATCAAAGCCCTGGCATTTCTGGGCACTGTGGGCAGGGGAGACTCGGTCTGCACGCCGCCTGTGCCCTTCACCCCCACCAGGGGTGAGGCCGTCCTCGTGCCGGGCAGAGATCTCCTACTGGGGGAGCCCAGGAATGCATGTGGGTGCTGGCAGGGTTCTGGTGCGTGGCTCAGAGTGAGCTATACCCATCCCCTCTCCAAGTGAGAGCATAGCTCCTCCAGAGGAGAGCTGGGAATGCCCAGAAGAGGGTTGGGTGTGAAGGAGGGGATGTCGCGTGGGCCTCACCTGCAGGCACGAGGGAGGTGAGCAGTAGGGCTTCTAAATGCCATCCCAGAAAGGTGGTCAGGACTTCAGACCACTGAGTCAGAAGGTTGCAGGGTTCTGGAATCTCTTCATGTCCCCACATTTGCTGGGTGCCCCCCTGCAGGCATTAATGGCAAAACCTGCACAAGGAATGTGGTCCAGGTACTCATCTTTGGGGATGTAAGGGAAGGTGGCAGCTGGGGAGAGTGGGGGTCTCTTTCCAAAACTTGCCGAGAGCGTGGGGAGAAAAGGAGACCCACCCCTACCGCTGCCCCAGGACGGAGTGCGCTTCACAGCTTTAAGAAGATAGTCCCAATGTGCCGAGGTCTTGGAGCTTGCTAAAAGGAAGGAAAAGAGTGTCAGGAGGCTCAGCCCTTATCCGCCAAAAGTTGTCCCCTCGTCCCCAGGTTATACAAACAAGTCCAGGCTGTCGTGTCCGCTGCCGCATCCCCATGCACCTGGCATCACAATCGAGCAGCCTTCTCATGGAGACTCCGGCAGCCTCCCTCAGCTGGACCTTCTGGCTGAGCTGTGGCACCTCCGGGACAGGTGACCCTGGCGGGCCCAGCAGCTTCTGTGAGAACCAACCTCAAATCTGAGCATTTTGACTGCTGATGGGCTTGTGTTGATTTCTCTTGCTGCCCACCTTTTCTTCACTACCATCCTCCATACACACTCCCCTCCCCTTGCCTGCCCCAGCCTCTCTGCCTCCTGCCCCCTTCAACTTCACCTCCCTTCTGCCAAGGAGGCTCCGGAGAGAGCCCTGAGGAAGCTGGAGACTGCTCGCAGCCTTGGCTCTGCCACTGAGCTGTGTGTCGTTGGGCACCTAGCTTTACCTCTCTGAGCCTCAGCTTCCCCATCTGTGAGGTAGTCCCCCAGACTCTTTGCAACTCTGGTCGTTAAGTCTTACTTCCGTGGAGGTGAACATTGTCTAGGAGATAAACGTGTGCTTTTCCCCGAAGCACCTAGTTTTGGATGTTGTCTGTAAGCTATGGCAGCTGGGTTTAGAGAAGCCACCCCACATTTCTAGATGGGGCAGGGTCAGAGACAGGTGACAGCCCTTCCTGTTGATAATAATGCTTTTGTCCCTGGAGGCACCTTTAATTTATTAAGACCTGTCCTCCCCTGTAACTATAAATGTCCTTGTGCATTAGGCAGGGCAGTTAGTACCTATATTTTACAGACGGCAAAACAAGGCCCAGAAAAGTTAAGTCCTTCCCCAATGATCCATGGCCCCTGGTGATTAACGTAAATTAGTAGAAAGAGAGCCAGCCAGAAGCCAGATGATCTGCCCTTAGAAAATCACCAATGTCCCTAAGGCCCCAGTTTCCTGTCTGTAAAGTGGCAGTAATAATGGTTGCAGGGTCACGCATAGTAACAGAGGTGCAAATAGTTTGCAAACTCTAAAGCACCTGTTCACCTTCACCATTCATGGTGGCGCAGAGAGCCGGTGACATTCTCACGGTGTTCTCCGCCCTCCGCCCCCCTCCTGCGTGCTGTTCCCTCCAGGAGATACACGCCATCTTCCAGGGTATTTCTCTGGGCCTCCTATCTGGCCCCTAATCCCCCTATGGTTCTCTCCCTCCAGACTGTAAATTCACCTGCCACCCGGAGTGCCACAGCCTGATCCAGCTGGACTGCAGTCAGCAGCAAGGCCCCTCCTGGGACAGACCCTCTCCAGAAAGCACCCTCACTTCGACCTTCAGCCAGGTAGGCAGCAAGGGCTCAAGGACCAGGCTGGGAACAGCCTCCGAGGTGCCCCGGGCTCCCCTGTCCCTCCCAGGAGCTCTGGTGAGCGGGAGGTGGCGTGAGTGTTCCACATACGCTGGATGTTGAGGTCCCCTTCTGGCTGGCTGGGGTCCACAGCACACACTCTGATTCTGCCCCCAATTCTGATGTGGGGGGCGAGGGTCTCACACCACCAAAGCAATCATCTGACACCCACTGGGTGTCCTGCAGTTCACCTCAATTCTGGCACTATCTGTGCGCCTCCCCACCACCACTTCAGACACCAATTGCAAGGCCATGTTGTCACCTTCTACAGCCCCCTCCTTGGGTTCAATTAATTTGCTAGAGCAGCTCACAGAACTCAAAATTTTTACCTACTAGATGATCAGTTTATTATAAAAGGATCTAACTCGGGAACAGCCAGATGGAAGAGATGCAGAGGGCAAGGTGTGTGGGAGGGACACAGAGCTTCTGTGCCCTCTCCAGGCGCCACTCTCCCTGCACCTCCACGTGTTCGCCAACCCAGAAGCTCTCCAAGCCCCAACTTTTTGGGGTTTTATAGAGGCTTCATGACACAGACATGATTGATTAAATCATTGGCCATCGGTGATTGATTCATCCTCCAGCCCCTCTCCCCTCCCCAGAGGTCAGGGGGTGGGACTAAAAGTTCCAGTCCTCTAACACTTGGTTGGTTCTCCTGGCAACAAGCCTGCATCCTTAGGTGGCCTCCAAAATCACTTCATTAACATAACAAGAAACACCTTTGTTGCTCTTCTCACTTAGGAAGTTCCAAGGGTTTTAGGAGCTCTGTGCCAGGAAAGGAGACAGAGACCAAATATATATTTCTTATTAAAAAATCACAATATCACACACCCTCTTCCAGGTGGCTGGGGGGATGGAACAGAATCGGTGACACAGGGAAGTCTGTCACTATTGAGAAGTGTCCTGTAGTCCACCCCAAGCACAGAGACTGCTTTGGCCTAGGGCTCCAGCCATAGGTATGGGTATGGGTAGGGGTAGCGGTGGGGGTCCCAGAGAAAGCTCCTGAGGATCCTCTGAGGCCTCGTAGCCCTGGGGAAGTGGGGGTGCTGGGGCTGAGGCTTCTCAGCACATCATCCTGCCTGCCAGTCAGCCAGCCAGACCAGATCAACTTCAGAGGGACTGTGCAAATGTTCTTTCCCAGTGTCAAAGGACCAGGAAGTTAATGCCCAAAGCAGCTCTTGGTTCTGGGCTTTGCCAAGCCACTTGAACTAGGGTGTGTCTGACCTTTGATGTCGAGGATTTGGGAGGGAGACAGGAGAGCGTTGTTTTTAATTCTTGCATTGATGAAACATTAATTATCTACTATGTGCCAAGCACTGGTAAGAGTGGGGATAATAAATGATACATCATATTCTGGTCCTCAGAGAGCTTACATTCTGGCAGGGGAGGCAGAATACAACCAAATAGTGTATAGTGTGATGCATGTTTCAATAAAAGTATGAATGAAGCATTTTGAGTATACGGTGCAATTGTTTCTGTTGGGAGAAATCAGGGAATACTTCCCAGAGGAGATGACATTTACCGTAAGCCTTAATGTATTAGTCAGATGTTGCTCGTTAAGGAAGTAAGTCGTGTCCATTCTTACTGTAAGGGCATCATCCATCTATTTATTTAACAAATATGTTTTGAATGCAGAGCATGTGCCAGGCCTGGGAATGCCAGGGACTTAGTGATGCAGTAAAGTAGGGGAGCAAGACTTTAATTAAACCCCATATTTCTGAGAGAAAAGCCCTGTGTGCTGTGAGAGACAACACAGATGCTGAATGACTGGTTATTTCCTCAAGAGAATACAAGTGGGCCTGGGGAATCGGGGTCCAGTCCCAAGTCCCCAGACTAGCCATCCACACGCTTTTTCTGACCATGATGTACATACTCAACAATGTTCAGTCACCTGGTCCACCCATAGGTGCTACCGGCCTCCCTGCTGTTCCCCAGGCCTTTTTCTCCCACTGGGAAAGTAGTACTAGAAAGCAAATATGATGTGTATTTTTATAAGAATGATATTGAATTTGTTCTAAAAAATATATTTTTAAAATTCTGTACATCCGAAAGAAACTTGGAGCTGCCCCTCTCCACTGCTCCCGCGCCCCGTGGCCCAGGCCTCACTGAGCCCTCAGACACCCTGGCCATGGGGCGGCCTGGGCCATCCGCAGTGTGAGAGCAGGCAGGCGGGAGGCATCATTCCAGCCTCGGGCCCGGCCGCTGCTGCCTGCCCCGGCTCCCAGCATCGTGCACATAGCCGTGAAGTTCCACATCTGGCACAACTACCCCTGGAGTAAGCTGCCAGTCAACGTGAGGCAAAGTCTTGGAAATTCACAGAGAGAATATGAGAAGCAGGTTGTCCTGTACACTATTCGCAGTCAGTTACAATATAGAAATACTTAAACATGTCAAGAAGATGAACCCAAGTACTGTGGGGAACTGTGCAGTCGAGAACATCTCATGCTGTACCCTTACCATTTATCAGATATGGTAAAGGGCCTGAGGATAACACCATGTTCATATTATCCTGGGATCATGGATGACATTATGAACAGTGAGAAAAGTTATTATTTGTTGCCCAATTTTACTGCTGCTGCCTGCCTAAGGCTTCTTGGCATAGGAAGAAACCAGTACATTGATCTGATGAACCCGTGTAGATCATCAGAAATTTTTTTCACAAGGAAAACGGCCCATGATCTTTTACCAGTAAAGCCAGTGGAAATTGCCATAGAGGCATGCTGAGTGGTGTAGGCTGGCTATGTCACAGAAGATGACATAAAGATATGCAGTTTGCCTGAGAAATGTGCTATTGATAAGATCATTGATGCAGGCCCTCAACTCTCTGGATCACTAGATTACAGTGTAGTACATAGTTTATATAACACAGGATTTATTTATCTGGATGTGCTAATATCTGATGACAGTTATATAGTAGTTCCTCCTCTTGCAGGTTTTGTAATGAATCGAGTGCAAGGTGATTGTTTTGAAACTCTGTATTTGTTTCCATAGATGAGCATATACTAGTATTGCAGGTCTTGCAAATGCACTTGAGATAGACCTATCCCTGGTTAAGGATGCTGTGTCATTTGGGGTACTGCCGATTGGGGTTTGCCCACAAGATAGGACTTCCCTGGCCGTCCAGTGGTTAAGGCTCCACGCTGCCAATGCAGGGGGTGTGGGTTTCAATCCCTGGTCAGGGAAGTGAGACCCCACATGCCGAGCGGTGCAGCCAAAAGATTTTTTTTTTAAAAAAAAGGACAAGTAATAAATTTGGATCAACTTTGTTCATCGTGGAGGAATGCTCCACAGAATAAAGTAACTCGTTTATTTAGTATGAGAAAAAAATCATGTACATCCTCCACACACTTTGGAACTGGAACTGTTTATAACGTAGTCTGAATGTAACCAGACCTCTCGGGAGGGCCTTGCCCTGTCCAGGGTGAGAAAAGGAAGGGAGACAAATCTGACCCCCAAAGCCCTGGTGAATGATGCAGATTTTTGCTGAAGGTTTTCTTTAGAAGATGGAGGAGGGAAGTTCCATAGCACACCGTATAACAACATTTACCAAAAATCTTATTTAAACGACTCTTTATTTTCCCAATTTTATTTCCCATTGGGAACTTCCAAGTCTCTCTTCTTTCTGTTCCCCTCGAGCCTACCCATTCCCCATCCCAGAGCCTGCTCACCCCACTCCATCCTGCATTTCTACTTTGGGTCTCTATTTCTTCCTCTAGAGCAGCAGGTCTCAAATGGGAGGGGGTGATTTTGCCCCCCTCCACCAGGTGGGACATTTGGCAGTTACTGGAGACATTTTTGGCTGTCACAGCTTGGAGGAGGCTACTGGCACCTAGTGGGCAGAGGCCGGGGATGCTGCTAAACAGCCTCCATCGCACAGAAAAGCCACAGCCCCGCAACAAAGAATCATCCGGCCCCAAATGTGAGCAGTGGGGAGGTTGAGCAACCCTGCCCTAGAGTGGCTTAGCCAGCTCTCACGTGGGTGGGAGGGAAGGCCCCAGAGCAGGGCCTGGGGTTTGCTGCATGCCTTGTCTCATTCCCAGAATTTCAGCAGTGAACAGGTGTTTCCAGATCTGAGTATTTGGAAGCAGAGTGACTCCCTTTCCTCTGTTGGAGAGATGAGTCAACCTTGGAATTTTCTGGCAAGCTAACTCAGGGCTGTGTCTAGAGCAGAACCACCACTGAAGTATAGAAGACACATAGAAGAAGCCAAGAGTCCCTCGTGGGTGCAGCAGAGCAGCACGCCCACCGGCAGCCAGCCTGGAATGGGGTTTGCTCCCGGGCCGGCTGGGTTGGGCTGCAGTGTTTGCCTTGGACAGGCCTGGCTGCATGCTTCAGGCACAGCTGGGACAGGACCTAGCCTTCTGTCAATAAAACCTGGGCCCTGCTCCAGGCTAACTAGCCTTTTTCTAAAAAGCTTGTTTGTGCTGATTTCTGCCTTGGCTCGATTTTCTGTTGCATACCCGGATGGAGCTTTCGTTCACCTTGACCTTGTCACGTGGTCTGAGCCAACCAAATGTGCGAGTGCTGTTTTCGGGGTGGGGGTGGGCATTTATTGTGGCCCGGGCCCTGGTCAGAGCTCCACTGGTTTGGAGGCACGTGGCTGTTAGGAGGTCTCTCCGCTTTGTTCTTTAAGAAAAAGAAAATCATTGAACTTCCTCCATCGAGAAGGAACCACTGTTAGTTAACATTTTTATATTTTCTTCCTGTACATTCATACATTTTTCAAAACACAGTTGAGATCATCCTGTAGATAAGTGTTTGGCCTCAACCTTTGAAAAGCAGTAATCCCAAGGTTCTGTCTGTCTTCTCTCTGCCATGCCAGACAGAGGCGGGGAGGGAGGAAGGGGAGGGCGTGTGAGGGGGCAGGGATGGGCTCAGAGCCCCAGCTGCACTCACAAGGTGTGTGGTTCGTGCATGTCTCTCTCAGGTGGAGAAACAAA